TTACATATAGCAATACAAGCAATAGAGTAAACATAAGGCATCCAGAGACAAAGAAGAAGAAGAAAGGAGCCTGATAGGCTGTGTTGCATGCGTCTTGGCCATTCAGCAGCAAGACCTAGTACGGGGCCCCCTGAAGCAGCAGCAGCAGCAGCAGCAAACTCCTGCTGCTGCTGCTGCTGCTGCTGCTGCTGCTGCTGCTGCTGCTGCTGCTCGTCGTCTTGGTCTCTCTGAGGGCTCATACTTTGTATTATCTTCGCCCTTGCTATGCGTAAAGCTACAGTAAGAAAGACAGGCAGCAGCAGTTTTTTAGCTGTTATAGACGAAGCAAAATCTTTTGCTGCTGCAGCAGCAGCAGCAACAGCAGCATCAATTTGTCCTTTTTTTAAATATAAAAATATCTCTGCTGCTACTTGCATGCAGCAGCTTATTAAATTCTTCGTAAATATAGCCGTAATAAACGCAACAAAAAGAACAGATACAGCCAGCAGCTGCCGCCGCTGCAGTTTTCTCTTTGCTTTCATCGATCGTGCTGATCTATATGTACGTTGTGCTGTTTGTAGGGGGGCCCCAGCTAGATACAATTCATATGGACAAGCAGCAGCAGCAGCAGCAGCAGCAGCAGCAGCAGCAGAAGAAGAAGGGTCTTGGGGGCCCCCCCCGGGGGCCCCCCCCTCAGATTCGTTGAAACCCACCATAGAGCCAGATGCGGTGATGCGGGGGCAAAAGAAGAAAAAAAAAAAGAAAAAGAAAGAAAATAGAATATATTTTTGTTTTTTATGGTAATTTATAAAAAAAAAACAAAAAAAGAAACAAGAAAGAATGAAATAGATCAACGAATACACCACGCTCACTCTCGGGTGTATTTTGATGATGCAGAATTTGGGGTGTATCGACAGCTCAATAAGAGAAAAAAAGAGAAAAAAAAAGAAAAAATTTGTTTGTTTTTATGTTTTAAATGCAACAAATAAATAAATATATATTTGTTATTTCTTTTTCTCTACTTTTATAGCTCACCATCAACGCACGTGGCCACTCGACAGCCGCCGAGGCCTCGCGAAGACGAAACTGCTGCTGCTGCTGCTGCTGCTGCTGCTGCTGCTGCTGCTGCTGCTGCTGCTGCTGCTGCTGCTGCGGCAGCAGCAGCAATCTGATTTTTGCGGTAAAAACGTGAAAAAGAATTATTTTTATGAATTTAAATATAATTTATTTATTTAAATAAATTTAAAATATATTTAAATAGTTTATTTAACACAAATATATACACAAACACATACACAGAATATATATATACAACAGAGAGAAACAAACCGCGAGACCTCGTGGCTGTTTGGTTGTAATGCATCAAAAAAAACCACAAAAAATATATTTTTATAATTAAATTTATTATTATAATTAAATTTAGTTTTAGTTTTACTTTTTTTGGTTTTTATTTCACAACATTCTGCTCTCAGGTGTACACGCAGCCACCCCGCGGTGACACCCGCTGCAGCTCAGCAAACTCTCTCTTCTCTTTTTTTCTCTTTTTCTCTTCTTTCTTTCTCTCTCTTTATAAATATATATATAAATATATATTTATATATATAAATATATATATAAATATATATATAAATATATATATAAATACATATATACACATGCATTGTATACTCTGCAGCTAACGCAGAAGAGCCTTCGCTTGGTTATACAAACTCTATATAAGTCTATAAAAAATATATCTATATAAATATAAATATAAATATATATAATACATTTATATATACATACATATATATACAGAGAGAGAGAGAGAGAGAGAGAGAGAGAGAGAGAGAGAGAGAGAGAGAGAGAGAGAGAG